GACAGCAAGGCTTTCCCTCCAACTGGGCTGCCTTCCTTAAACCCTTCTTAAAGAAAAAACAGGGAGAGTCAAATGATTATACCAAATTTCCTCATTGCTAATTTTTAAAAACATACTCAAATACAAGTCACACTGGTTTTAATGCATATAGTTACTCCTGAATAAGAGCAATAGTTTCTCTTTTATTTTTGATTTCAGATTAAGCAGCTACATAAGTATTTACACAAGTCCATACATTATCCCACATAATTTCATGCAAGGAGCTTGAAACTTGAGTATAGAATTGCTGACTTCAAGTGCTAGCATTTCTCCAACTAGCACTTGAATTTAGGCAAAGCCCCCATGAAAACTGGAGACCAGGCCCCCCACCCCACAGTAGTGCAGAGGGTTAAGACACAACCTACAAAGCTGTCTGCAGCCACTGCAGCACGAGTTCCATACCCAGCCAGGGAGCTATCCACATGGCACAGCAGACCTCTCCTGTCTCCCCCCACTGCTCCCCTCAGCAGTGTACTTCAGTCAGTCTGCCTGTTCTGTCCCCCACTCTGTCTCTGGTGAATACTCTCACCCCCACACCTCTGGCCTGTACCCCTGCTCTTGTATGCATAAAATAAAATAAATCTTTTTTTTAAAAAAAAGAAAAAAAGAAAACTGGAGACCACAAGCCATAGGAAGTGTAGCTACATTTCAGGTCTACAGAGTGTAAACATAAGGCCTGTAAAATCAATATTAAAGAGGTGACTTATGCAGATAAATAATAAGGCAAATAAATCTGTTCATTTGCAGAAATGTTAACATTAGCCAGGGAGTTCTTTGCATGGTGCAATCTGGTAGCTTCCCTCCCAGACAAGTGCCGATTGCAGTTCACAAGTTAATATTGCAAACACCATGCCTTCCCAGGGTGGATGTACCTATCAGGTCAAACCCACCTCCCAAATCAAATGCAAAAGCATAAGTAGTTTTTTTTTTTTTAATCTTATTGGATAAACACCATATCATTTCACTCATTAGCAGTATAGAGAGAAAACAAACAAACAAAAAAAGATGAGCTAAATAAAACAAAAATACACTTTTGGAATATAAGACCTACTAATAGTTACCAGAAGGGCATGGGAAGGGGTGGAGGGTGGGTAAATTGAGAAATAAAGGAAAATCACATGGCAAATTGGATTTTCAGCGGTGAATAAAATGTGGTTATATACACATGTTGTTTGGCAACAATGCATATCTGGAACTTATATAATTTTATAAAGTAAAGTTATTTCAATTTTTTTGGAAAGGAAAAAAAAAAAAATACTCCACAATTGAAAAAGAAAAGTAGGAGGTCCTGCCCCAGGTTTGACAGCGTGAAGCCCCTCTGTTCTCTGTGCACCCGGAGGCCTGAACCTGCCCTGTGAAGATGATACTCCTGATATAACAAATCCACAGCAGAAGGTGGACTCTAAACTCTCCAAAAATAACATTTGTAATTAAATAATCAAGCATGTTTTCATGGAAGGGCCAAGAACAAAGGTCAGTGGTGCTGTAGACCAGAAATCACCTGCCTACAAGTTTCCAGGGGGATATGTATTTCTTTTTTGTTCACTGGTAAAAGTTCTGCATCTAGAAGTGTGTCTATTCAGGGCAGAAGAGTTTAAGCAGTGAATATTTGTCAAGTGAAGAATGATTATTAAAATGAAAGAACAAAGTGATTATAAAGTTGTGAGGTTTGTACACTTCCGCAGAAAAACAAGTTGCTATATAGTAAACACACACCTTGGGAGAAACTAGGGCTTAAATATTCAAAAATGATGCTATGACCAACTTCATGATCAACATAAAATAGATTTGGATAATTATATCATCATTTACCTTGCCACACTAGTCATTCAAATTTCCAGTATAATTTTCTTTATCTGTCTTATTAATTATATGATGATCACATATTTATTTAGTGCTTTATTTGCAAATTACAAATATTTTTCCCTTCCCTGTGAAAAGGGAAAGGCAGCTATCATCACTGCTAGTTCACAGATAAAGAGATTTGCGTTCAGAAATATTGAATGTCTCATAAAAACACACCGCATCAACTATTAAGTCCCTGTTTCAGGAAGAGAATGTCAGTAATAAGAAAAGAGAACAAAAAAATATAAAGCAAAAAATATTTCCATATACTGTTCTAAGCCCTTTTATATGGTAGCTCATGTTCTCTTACCAATGACATTGTGAGGGTGGAATTGTTTTAATTAGATTTTTCATTTGCAAATCCAAAGCCTGATGAGAGTGAGCAGATCTAGGTGGTTTGGATGTGGCACCCAACCCTGTTCCCTCTCAACAAATCAAGTATCAGAAAGCATGGCTACCCACCACTCACCTCCTAACCAAGGATATTAGCATCACCTCTAAAATCTATGTGTTTGAGATGATAATAAAAACTATACTATGTAAATATATATTCCTGTTAGTATATATTAGAAAACGGATGCATCTGTGCCAGCAATTGCATATGCATTTTTCTCAATAGCTGAAGTTTAAGCAGACACTCTGGCAAGAGAAGTAGAGTGAAAATTACTTCATTCAAACATTCAAGTGCTTCTCTACACATGCACAGTGTGAAGTGTGTGGTGTGTGTGTCTTCACACCAGGGTTTGTAAATTACTGGGAAACATGCATGTCACTAACCAAGAGCCTCTTTTTGTGGGTCGGTAGATTGGTGGTTCATTGGGAGGAGAGAGGTGAGATTAAAAAAAAAAAGAATGCATATTGAATTATCTTGTTCCTTCTACACACACACACACACAACACACACAAACAGAGTTGCTGAGTTCCCAACTCCTTTGATAGTTTATACTTCATGTTGGATTTGACTGACATAAACTCATGACTGAGAGGCAGGCTTCCTCTGAGCTAAAGTTGGTTTCCATGGTGCTGAATTGTCCATTTAAAATCATGGTTCTTAACCACACACAGTTGGTGCCCATGCCGGCCAGCACAGGTCTCTCAGAGTCACAAGGACTAAGACATTTGTACGGCATGTAAACAGCTCCTTGCCATGCCATTTTACTTGGTGCATTTTGCCTCCAGTTAGAAAAGGAAATCTCATTATCTTGTAGCATATATTTTAAGGTCAGTGAATCATGTTGCATTGTTTGCACTTTGAAGACTACTTTTGAGGGGATGAAAGTGATTGCTTGGAGCTTGGAGAAACACATCTGTGGACAGATATATCTTAGAATATTGTTTTCCACATCTTTCTCTTCAAGAATTCCCTTGGGGGGTGGGATGTAGAGGAGAATAATACTTCCTAAAGTTTGCTACATAGGGAGGAGGAGTATTGGCTGGCAAAACTGCTTCTAGCAGTCTGGTTTTGTTTCTTTTAAAATGTGTAATATATGAACAAAACACCAGTGGTGTTAATAAGCCTTGGAAATTGCAATACACACTCATCAGTTATTTTGTAATATTCAAACGAATGCTCTTACTGGAATTTGTGCGATTGATGGTATTGCAAAACCCAGAACATCAATGGTGACATATTTTAATTATTAGCAGTATTTTTTTCAGGTAAGTGAATATATTGAGACTGCTTTCATGAAATCTAAATTATCTAATATAATACACATTGTCATTATCCATTCACTGCCTAGAAAATACGTGTGTAGTAAAATTTAGTATTTGGGATCTTCCTTCCCTCAAAAGTTGGACTCCACTGGCCTAGTGCAGTAAACTTTTTTTTTTTTTAAAATGAGACTATTCAGTGATAAGAACTAGGTCCTGAATCTCTGGAAAGAGGTTCCCTAATTACAGGTCAGAAGTAGCAAAGTTATGAGACACATCGGCCACTTGGCGGGACCTCTGAGCCCTGTGCTGTTCCTTGCACTTTTCTGCCAGTTCCCGGAAAGGGTGAGTTAAAAGCCCCCACTGTTCAGGACTCACTCTAGCTGCCCGCAGTGGAGACTGGAGGCTCCTGTGGTGTCAAAATTTCACCTGTGGCTCGCTCTTGATTGTATCTCAAGAAGCACCATTGGCTGGTGAAGGGCAAATGGAGACTAAGAACAGAAGCGGGTTTACTTTGAAAGGGACAGTATTAAGGAAGACAAAGAGCTGCTTCAACCCAAAGAGCAGCCAGGAAAGCTCAGGGCGCACAGTGCAAACCTTGGGGGTGGGTCATGTCTACTTAGGTACTTGAGCCCACCCACCAGCAAAGTCCCCCCAAATCCACCACCACCCCTGCTGTCCTTTTCTGCTCTCTTTAGGCTCTCCCTGGATTCCTACTTTAGGCCTTCCAGGGTCTCATCTGTGATAGCCCAGTGTCCAGGAGAGGTACCTTGACAGGGGACTGGATCCTGCTTAGGGGTGCACAGGGGAGGCAGACTGAGGAGCAAGTGGGACACTTAGGAGGTTCTCATGGTGCTGACTGATACCCAAGGAGTGGGTCCTCAGCCAGAAGTCAGATCCGTGCTCTGCGCTCTCCTAGGGCAGAGACTTTGGAGATTCCCTGTGGAAGAACCTAACTTAGGGATGGGAACTTGCAATGAACAGGCTCTGGGGAACCCCCGGGGGTCCCCGACTGCTCTTCTTGAGATCTGGGCACTCCTGCGAGTTCCCAGAACCAGGGTCGCCAGTGACCAGGACAGCGGGTCTGGACTACTCGACAACACCCCAGGCGCCGGGTGAGAGTCTTCACACCCCACGCCCGCCGCCCGCCGCCGCGCGCCCCCGCGCCGGGAGGAGGGTACCGACCCGGGCGATCCCGGACCCCTGCGCTCCGGGCCGCGTTCCTGGAGCCCGGCTTGAAAAACCCGCCAACCGCACCTCGCGGGGACGCCCGACACTCGCCCAGAGGGAAGCAGTGACGCGGCTCCCCCTTCCCCGAGCCTCCGGCGCGCGCTGACCTCCGCGCCCAGCACCTGGCCCCGCGCCGCGCGCGCTGCCTCCCCGGGATCGCCGCGCCCGCGCCGGCCTCGGGGAGCGACCGCGTCCCCCGAGCCCCAGCCGGAGCGCGCCCCGGGCTCACTCACCGATCCTGAGGACTTGCGGGGCGGTCTGGGGGAGCACAGAGCCGAGGAAATAGAGGAGCGCCCAGCTGCCGTCCCTGGTCCAGAGCCAGGGCTGGGCGAGGAGCGCGCGGCGCTGCATCTTCCTGGCTGCCTAATTCATGCCGAGACCCAGCCGCGGCCGCACGTCCCCGAGATGCAGCCCGCTCCGGCGGGGTCCGCGCCTCATCCTCCCCGGGATGCTCGGCGTCTGCACCCTGCGCGCTGCGCTCCGGGAGGGACCGAGGGGGCCGGCGTGGGAACGCGGAGCGGGCGCGCGGCGCGGGGCTCGCTCGGGGCTCCAGGCTCCGGCCGCTCGCCCGTCAGGGCTCCTCGTCCTCCTGCTCCATGGGCCGCAGACCGCGGGCGACCAGCGCGCGCCGGCTCCCGGAGCCCGGAGCCCGGCAGAGGAAAGTTGCTGCCCCAATTTGCGGGAACGTCTCCCTCATCCGTCCTCTGGTCAGATGCAAAAGTGGGGGTAGCAGGAGGGTGCGGCGAGAGAGGGAGGGGGGCACCGGGGGAGTTGGTGCAGGGGCTCTGAGCGAGCAGGGCGCGCTCCAGCAGGTCTAACTGGGATCGGAACCACGCTCTGGCTCTCTCAACGCCTGCTCGCCTCCTCCACTCGCTGGCCCCACCCTTTGTTTACCGCCCGCCCCGACTCCACGGATCCAGACACACTCACACGCGCGCACACGCGCACGCACATCCTCCCTCGCCCTCAACTTTGCGCTTTGCTGCTGGAAAGTCCATGGAGCGAGGCGTCCTCGAGGCAGATGAACGCAACCTACTGGGCAGAGCAAAGTGTCTCTGCCAAGGGGTGTGAGACCTTGGCAAGGTCTGAGAGGGGGTCAGAGGGGAGGCCAACTAGGACTTGCCATCACTTGATGGAGGGTCGCCTGCTCTGAAGCCAGGATTTCAGAGGATAGCTGAGCTCTGCTTTAACTCTGAGGAGGATGAAGCAGAGGAGGAGGGGAACAGGGATGGGAACTGTTCAGTACCCCAAGATTAGAGTGGCTTCTTCCTTATTCAGGCTGGAGATAAGCCCTTGTGAATTGCTTCCATTTACACGTGCAAAACTGGGGAAGAGTCAGCTTTCAATGCTGCTCCTTCCCTTGATTTCTTTTGACTGTCACGTTTGAACGCCGGGTAGATAGGCTGTTTTAGCAATGTAGGTTTGGAGACTTTGCAGAAGGACAAGGACACGTCCCAGGGGAAATCATCAACATGTGATCATTAGGCTTAATTTCCGTCGAGCTTTGTCGGAAATGTTCTATATCAATGTCTGCTAGCTCTCCACGAACATTCATAGCGGTGTTTTTCTTTTTTTTTTTTTTTTCCCCACTCAGTATAGATTTTGGAGAATTGAACTAAACTGAGTCCATCCGTCTGAAAAAATGACCTAATATTTGGGCCCAAGATATTAAACAATTACAAAATGAATGCAATATACCTTAAGATGCATTCATTCATTCAACAAATAACAAATACCTACTGGTATCTTGTGTGCAGTAACAAACACTGCATTTTTCACAGATGACCTTATAGTACATGGATTGTCCATCCCACAAGGGAGATTAAATCCTCACTACTAGAACTAGTTAGCTCATATTTCAAGTAGTGTGCATATGTCTGGGAGGAGAGTTGCAAAAAACACAAAAAATCCACAGATTAGAAGTGTTGATCCAGAGTTAGGAATTCATCTCATATATGAATTAATAAAACTGAGAATTAAGGAGATGTACAAGTTACCTTCAGAGATTTGACAAGCTTTTGTTGTTGAGGGTAAGTAGGAGTCTCGGTCAATCTTAGGTAGGTGAGATGAAATAAGAAAAATAAAAAATATAGGATGGACTTTGTTGTCACTTTTAGTCATAGAGGGGGTCGTTCCTAACTCAGGAAAGTATCCAGCAGTGGTATAACCTGCTTCAGAAAAGAAGCAAATTCTTCCTTCCTTCGTTCATCATTCATTGGTTCATTCAATTCTTATTTGAGTGTCTACTTTGTATAAGACATTTTGCCAAATCCTGCAGACACAGAGAGAATGGACTCTGCCATAATGAAACTAATCAGTATTAAAGAAATGTGATGAGTTTTACAAAATGGCACTTTGGACATGGAGAAAAGGGAATTTAGCCTCATGTAGGAGTTTGGGATGGTCTCAATGAGGAAGTAATGCTTCAGAGCTCAAAGAATGGATAGTTTATAAGTGATTAGTAAGCATTTCTTAAAGGAAGAATAAATAGAAAACCTGTTAGTGGATATAGTTTTAATCCTAAGCATTTGCCTGTCTGGTGCTTACCTCTATCTAGTTTTCTTCTTTACAAGCCCATACAAACGTTATACCTCTTCAGTGAGGTATAACCATGCAATTCTATTTTGCCCACTGAATGTGAATGGAAGTGTAATTCACCATTTGTGGGTGAAAAGAAAGGCAGTGACATGATCTCATAGGGCAGAACTTTCTTCTTTTGCCCAAGTAACCCTGAAAGCCTTAAATTCTAGAAGTCAGGATCCTGGAACCATGAGCTACCTTTCAGAACAGGTTGCTCTGAGTAGTTGTCTGACCTGCAACAAACTGGTGATGAATCAGTGACATGTCAATTTTATATTGTAATTCATTACAATTTTAAGATGTTTGTTACTGCAGCATAACCTACTCTATACTGACCGATAAATTCTCTAATTCTTGATCACCTCATCTGTAAAATCAAAATAATAATGACAAAATAGGGTTATTAGAGGATTATAGGAGCTATGCATATAAATAATTCCTCTTGACCCTTTTTACTCAGTATATATTAGTTCTTTTAAGGTAAGTACATTTTGGGGGGTTAAATAAATTCATGAATACATTTGTAGTTTCAATAAACCTTAGATGGCAGGCACACAAATACTTTCTCGTGAGAGATTAGTCAGCAACATGGGTACAATTAATTTTATAATTACAGTGATCGGTCCAGTACTATTTAAGAAATTTTACTATTTTTTATCTGCATTACCTTTGGACAATGAGTAAACAATTCCCTTTGGTTATTAGAGAGATCAGAAAGATTGCATTTCCTACAGATTTCTTAAAGAATACATATCAAACTTAAGTTACTTTTCTGTGTCATCTGTGAAATTCTGTAAACTTTAAGACTGGAGTTTATTTCCTTGTTAAAATGCTCATGTACATGGCTCATGGTGTTGAGTTACTCATGAGTGATCAACAGCTGCTGTTAATTTGTTTTGTGCTTTTTCGAAGAACTGTCTTTTGTGTATAGATGGATCTCATTATTTTTTTGACCCAAAATGACTATGTCAGTCACATTTTTCACAGTGCCCTTAATCTTTTTTTTAAAAGAATTATTTATTTATGCACGCAAGAACTGGGGTGCAGGTCAGAGGTGTGGGGGTCTAGAGGACCCACCAGAGTGAGTGGGGTGCAAAACAGGCAAATGTACTGAGATACACTGCTTAGGGGGACAGCGGGTGAGACAGGAGAGGTCTGCTGCACCATATGGGTCACTTCCCTGGCCGGGGATCAAACTCATGCTGCAGTGGCTGCAGACAGCTTCATAGGTTGTGTCTTAACCCCTTGTGCCACAGGGAGGCCCTGCCATTAATCTTAAGAAAGAAAGTACCCACTTGGATGCATTCTATCTTTGTCATCCCCTGAATCTGAAGATTTAATTGATACACTGTGGTTAATAATATAGCATATAGTGAGTGGAAAGCAACACTGGTGATATCACTTAGATACTAATCCATTTAAAATTACTGAATTTTTAGAAGACTACTAAAAACAAAGAAAACAGCTTAGAATAAACTAAAGAACCCAAGTGTTATAACTGAGTTTTTGAAACCTATTGAGTGACTTGAGTATACTGATAGTGTGGCCCAGGATGCTGAAAGCAAAAGTTCAAGTGGCTTTTAGAAGCTCCTGGGAGGTTCTGATGTAGCTGATTTAGGCTCAAAATCCTCATTTTCTGACTACTTTTAGTCTATAGTTTTTTTCAGGCTATTTTTATTCTATTCCTGCCCCCCCAGAAACAGATGTCATCTGTTTCTAAGATATTAAATACCTTTAAGCTAAGGTCTTTAAATTTCTTCTGTGGCTCAGATCTTGTCTCGAGATTCTCACACTGTCAGTTCTAATGATGATTTCTAACGTCAAATTCATGATTTTTTTTTGCCAGATCTTTGCCTCCTCCCCAAGTCTTCTTCCAACTTTTTTCATTTCAATTGCATACCACCTTCCATCTAGTTATTAAAACCTGCACACTCAGGAGGTTAGCCCTGATTTCTCCCTTGATTTTATTCCTCCAGTCAATTTTCATACACTATGGACTTTACCTCTAACAGACTTCTATAAGCCATTTTTCTACAGCTCTGCTGTTATCTTTCTATCTTGGGGCTTCTCAACCTCAATATTTTGGACATTTTAGACCAGAAAATCTTGATGTTGTGGAGGCTGCTCTGTGCATTATAGGATGCTTAGCAACTTCCCTGGGCTCTATCCACTAGATGTCAGTAGTACCCTCCTCCCAAATTGTAACCACCAAAAAATGTCTGTAGACATTGCCAGATGTCCTCTGAGGTATAAAATCACCCCTGGTTGAGAAACCACTACACTGGCCCAAGTCACCACAAACTTCTGTCTGGTGTGTTACAATTCACTTTTTATTAACCTTGTCCTCTCCCCTCCCAACTTGCCTCTTTCTATCCACTCTGCCCAGCTGATCTAAATGAACTCCTGTCATTAATCTCCCTCACAATGCCCAGTTTCATTGGCTACTGGTCACTATTAATTCTCTCATTGCTTATTTACTTTATTATAAACTCAATAGGCTTTGTCTGTTCTGTTCTCCTGAAACCTCATCATTTATCACTGTGCTGGCACTAAGAGTCTTCATAGATGCCCATTAAACGATAGAATGAATGAATGAATGAATGAAATTTCATAAGGCATACAACCTACAATTCATAAGTGAACATTTGTATGACTGAACTAAATAATGAGTCAGCTCTCTTGTTTGATTTCATTCAGAGCTCTGAAATGGATCAGTTTATATTTAGTGTTATACTCAGCTGATAAATATAGCATGCTGTGTCTAATCTAATCCTACATGTGCTTCCTCAAATTTCACGAAAAAGCCCTGTGGAGCAGGGGTTTCTCTTAACATTTTATTTTTCATCAACATGACTATCATTACACAAACCTTTAACAATTTCACTGTGATGTTGTACTAACTTGGGTCCATTGGCTAAAAAAGCTTAGAATAAACTAAATAACCCAAATGCTATAACTGAGCTTTAAGTTCCCATGAAAAGCAACTGAAGAGAAATCTTGACAGAAAAAAAAAATCTTTTTTCTTAATATCTTTATATCCTAGGATACAACCTGAGAATATAAAAAAATCAGGCATGGAAGATCAGAAACAAGTTGGTATTCAGCTACCTCCATCCATAAATCTGTGGTTCTTCCAAGGCTAAAGAATAGAAGACTCAGAGTTAGGAGACTTGTGTCCCAAGGTTGACCTGATCACTAACGACATAAGTCACATGAGCTTTTTAGGCCTTAGCTGTTGTCTGACCTTTCATATGGCTTCTCTATGCTCCACATATAAGTGAGACCATCT